GGGTTTAGGGTTTAGGGTTTAGGGTTTGGGGTTCAGAGGTTTAGGGTTTAGGGTTTAGGGTTCAGAGGTTTAGGTTTAGGGTTTAGGGGTTTAGGGGTTTAGGGTTTAGGGTTCAGAGGTTTAGGGTTTTAGGGTTTAGGGTTTTTTGGGTTTAGGGAGTTTGGGTTTAGAGGTTTAGGGTTGAGGGTTTAGGGTTGTAGGGTTTAGAGTTTAGCCAGCAATAATCATCACACGAATAAGGGTCATAAACAATTACTCAGATACAAATATAAGGATCATAGATAAGAAGAGCCACCATAATCATAATCATAGTCATGCGCACGAGGGGATAACCACGCGCCCACTTTTGCTGCTGATTGTGATTGGGGCGGGTTGGGGAGGGGGGGGGGTGATGACGTTCTATGGTTCTGTGTTTCAAGCTACATTATGAGGAGGGTCTTAGGCAGGAAGTAGTGGATTGAAAGGAACACTGGCGAACATACCGAAAGCACCGCGACCGTCACACGAAACAGGGTTTAACATAGGATTGAGAATCTGATGAAGCAACCTGGTTTGACATAGGATTGATAATCTAATGAAGCAACCTGTCGTGTGACATGCCAATCGCAGCATCACATGTCCTTTCATGTCATGATCTGGCACATCATATCATACCTTATCATGTCATGTCATGTCATGTCATGTCCAACCATGTCATGTCATCTCCTATCGTTTCAGATCATGTCATGTACCACGACGGCTTGCTTCAGTAGATTCTCAATCCTATGTTAAGCCCTGTTTCGCGTGACAGGTGTGGTACCTTTCAATCTACTACTTCCTGCTTAAAGGATCATGGGACTTAGTAAGTAGGGTTATAACTAAGCTAACTATACTTATAACCCCATTCAAGGGACTTCTAACCTTACTTACTAAGTCCCATGATCCTTTAAGTACTACTTCCTGCGTAAGAGCCTCACCAGGCCGTCAGCGCGGCCAGCGTGTCCGAAACTCGAGTTTTAAGCGTTCCCAAGCCCTAACGGTTAGGGTTTAGGGTTGAGGGTTTAGGGCAAGCGGAAGCCTGTTTCCTGTCAGGTGCGGTAGAATCGATGCGACCGTCCTTTTCGAAGGGCGCCGTTCTCCCCCCAAGAGGCTAGCCATCACACTAATAAGGATCATAGACAAGAAGAACAACCATAATCATACTCATAATCATAGTACTTACACTGATAAGAGATTATAAGAACAAGTATAGTCATAGTTACGGTAACATATAGTAAGACCAATCATCACCACAGTCACAATGCTCATACAAGGACCCGCATCGTACCCTCAAATAGGGATATATTTGCTCCCAAATAATGCATATTTCGGATTGAGGATAGATGGGGGGTCTAGGTAATTGACAATAAATCGCAAGACGGAGGTCCGTGTTGGCTACAATGCCATGTTTTTGTTTTAAGAAAACCCAATCAGGATTAAACATGATCAGTTTTGATGCAGCCCCAACAGCCTGAACCTCTAAGTATAGAAACTTGATAGAACCCTTATAGAAACCTTTCACGGAACCCTTAAATCCTTTAAAGGAGCCCAACAGCCCTAAACCCTAAACCCTAAACCCCTAACCCTAAACCCTAAACCCCCTAAACCCCTAAGCCCTAAACCTCTAACCCCTAAACCCTAAACCTTTAAATCCTATAAAGGAGCCAGAAGAAGCTCAGGAAACCCGGAAGCGAGCGCGAGATGAGCCCGGGGAGCCCTCAGCATCGGCCTTGCCTCTCGCTCGGAGCCCTTCCCCCGAAGTGGAGGCAAGGCATGTTGAGGGTTGAGGGGTTGAGGGTTTTGGGGCTTAGGGTTTAGAGTTGAGGGTTGGGTTTGGGGGTTTGGAGGTTTGGGGGTTTGGGGGTTTGGGGGTTTGGGGGTTTGGGGGTTTGGGGGTTTGGGGGTTTAGGGTCTAGGGGTTTAGGGGTTTAGGGTTTAGCACGGGTTTAGGGTTTAGGGGTTTAGGGGTTTGGGGGTTTGTACTACACCCTACACTCCAAACCCCTAAACCCTAAACTCTAAACCCTACACCCCAGTTTAGGGTTTAGGGGTCTAGGGTTGAGGGTTTGGAAGCGGGATTTTTTAAAGGGTCGTTGAAGCAGGGTTCTGAAGGTGCAGAAGCCTCCAGCAACCGCCGGCCCACCCGAGTGCGCCATCTGTCGGCAGCTCAGTGGGAGGAAACTCGCGTATTTGCACCTGGCTCTCCTAAGTAGGGTGGCTTAAAGGGCTCCGGGCTCCTTAAAAGGATCCTTAAAGGGATCTATTATCTATAAGGGTTCTATGAAGGAGGGTATGGTATGTAGTTGGAAGCTGTGATTCGTGTCGTCTCTTTGTGCTTTGTGCCTCTTTTGCCAGCTTCCCGACTTGCCGAAGATCGAACATCATCATGTCTCCTCGCGGGTGCAGAACATGTCAACCCACAAATGAGAATTTAGAGTTTAGGGTGAAGGGTTTAGGGTAGGTGCGAAGATGCGTTTTCTTTCTTTCCCGGCAGTCCCCCCATAAGCTTGCAGTGGGAAGATGGGGGCCTCTGCCTCGCATCTAGGGCCAGCCATGGCGTGCCAAAGCCAAGAGGGCCCCAGGGGCCAAGACACTGCGGGTGCGGGTCGCAGGCGTGTGCGACACGTGATGATGCTGCAACTTCCAGCTCTGCATGAGCACACGGGGATCCTTAGTCTGACGGTGCGGATGCAGGTGAGAGAGCGAGTTCTCAGTCTGGGTTTGCGACGAGATGTTCTGAACTTTCTCCTGGCCTTCTGCACTCCAGCAGACGTTGGGCATCTGGCAGGTATAGACAGGAGCGTCTACGAGTTCTGTGAGGTAGATGCTATCTGGAGCATGATGCTTGCTTCAGACTTCTGGACTTCCCCGATGCCAGAGCTCGCACCGCCATGTACCAGGCCCTCACTGACTCTGGATGGCATCATGTTGCGACTGAACGGTGATATTCTTGGCACACGTCAGAGCGAAAGCTACGTGTCCAGCAAGCGACGTCTCATTCAGAGGTGGCACAGTGAGGTGGATCTTCGGAAGAAGAAAGCGCTGCGGGAGCAAATCCAACAGCTTGAAAGAGAGCGCGACGTCAGCTTGGCAGAATGTCGCCTGAGGTGGAACTCTGTCATCCGACGGCGCCGCTTTGTCGCAGGCAGTGCATGGATAGTGCTATTACTGTGGGGCCTCCGCTTTTCCGCAGCCTTCTGGCTAGTGCATGCAGTTCGATACGTCGCGTTGCATGCGTACCATCTCTTTTACAAGATGTCCTGGCTTTTCCTTCAGCTCGCACCTGGCGGGATCATCGAGAGCATTTGCATTGGGGCGGCACGCAAAAGTCGCACACGTCGCTGTTCAGGCCGCGATGCTGGTTTGAGCTCGCTTGATGTGTACCTGAAGTATGCTCGACGTTCATCTTTGCTTTGCTTGTGTGGCTACATCGCTTTCAACGATGGCCCAGGGAGCAGGCGGTGGCACAACGTCATTGCGTTCTGCTGCATGTTCGGTGCCGGATGGGGTGCTTTTGCTGCCGCAGCTGTTTTCGCCAGCCTCCTCCTCACAGGATTCCTTGCGTGTGCATACTTTTCCCTGTGGTGGGCACGCTGCTGGACGCGGGAGTTTGCTGCAGTGGCCCAGCGTGACCAGCAAGAGCTGTCCATCACAGAAGACTACCAGAGCAAAATACGGACATGTCGAGTGGCACTTGGTTTGCCAGCGGACGATCGTAAGTCCAGCTGCAACTGCTGTGTTCTCTAGCTGGGTAGTTCTCTAAATTAGGGTCCCTTTTAGGTCCCAAGTACGGCACCCTTATAAAAGGGACCCTAAACCCTAAACCCTAAACCCTAAACAGGACCCTAAAAGGGACCCTACATGAAGTATCCGCGAGCGCGAAGATGCTTTGAAAAGGCCATTGCGCCGGCGTGCCTTAAGCTCTAAGCGCCCAATCCTCAACCGTGGTGGTCCGTGGCACCGAACGTAGGGGCCTAAATAACGACCTATGCTATTCTTGGGGCTCCTTCTTATCACTATAGTAGAATGGGCCCCAAAACCCTATTCTAATTATTAAGGCTTCTACATTAGGACCCAGCCACGTCCCAAGCCCAGGAATCGTTTTGTCGCTGCAGTTTGGGCGAGTCCAAACCGTCACTACACCCGGTCTATTCCGAAGCCTCAACCCTGAACCCTAAAGGGTTTAGGGTTTAGGGCTTAGGGTTTACTGGGGTCTTTGGGCAGAGAAGCTCCAGAAAGCACCAAAAGCCGAAGAAGGGACCCGATCGGAGCTTGGTCAAGCGCCGTCGCGCACTTTCATGTCTAGGGAACAGGAGGTTTAGGGTTCAGGGTTTAGCGTTTAGTAGGGGTTTAGGGTTTAGGGTCTAGGGATTCAGGGTTTAGGGTAGGGTTTAGGGTTTAGGGTTTAGGGGTGTAGGGATGAGGGTACATTCCCAAGTGATTGATAGATGTTGAGAGTCTAGATACGTTCAAGTCGGAGAGCGCCGCCAGAGCCCTGTCTGGGGTTGGCGGCGATGTTGGAAACGAATTCATTGAAAGTCGCCTTGCAGGAAGTCCCTGCAACAGGTAAACCATAAACCCTAAACCCTAAACCTGCTTGCTGGCTTGCATGGTCTTCTGCAACAAACCCTGGACACTCCAAATGGACGGCTCAACCCTGACTTCCGAAAGGCTTCACGACTGCACAATTTAGCTTGAGGACGTCAGCAAGTTGCTGATGGTGACGTTGATGATGAAGGTGACAAGAGTGAAACTACGATGAACATTTCGGTTGACAGACTTGTATTCATACCAACAGTAGAAACAGTTTAGCAGTGATGATCGGCAGTGGTAACAATGGTAATAGTAGTAATAGTAGTTATAGTTATAAGGAACTGCAGTCTGCGAGCTGGTAGTTCAGTGTCGTGTCTGCGGAACTGCACTTTCGCTGACTTTAGGGTTCTGTTAATTAGTCTCAGCTTTTGCTAGTTTCTTAGCCTGGCACCTACTTTCTTTGGGGATTTTGGGCCCGGAGTTTTTAGTAGTATTTGGCGGGTCACAGGACTTAGTAGGGTTACAAGTACCCTGTGTGGGGTTATAAGTATAAGTATGTATGTGTCTAGCAACCGTACTCATGACCCGCATAACCCTAGTTACTAAGTCCCATGATCCTTTAAGTTGCGCGCATCACGCCCTTTCTCAGCATCTGATTTCAGGTTTTTGGGGTCGGCAGCCAACACCTCCGTTTTTGGGCTCCTCAAGCAACATCTCCCCTAAACCCTAAACCCTAGTAAACCTAAACCCTAAACCCTAAACTCCTCCTTTGAGGGTTCTGGGCTTGTGAACCAACGTCTCCCTCTGAGGGTTTGCTGTTTGGCAGCCAACCTCGACCTGCATGTTGGAAGAGGTAATGCTATTTTGGGGGCTCCTTAATCCAATAAAAGCATAATGGGCCCTAAAACCCTATTCTAATTGAGCATGACATGAAGCTGACAGGTGGAAGCGCACGAAAGCCGTGCTGTTGCTAGCCATGTCGGCTGGAAGGGGCTCGGGGAATGAGGGCTGGTTCGCTCGTTAATCCCCAGGGGGCCAGAGTACTTTTCACTTTACCAACACGGCCTTGAAGGCTATGATTCTGAGGTTTCAATCGTACAGCTCAGGTAGTCTTCAGTTGCATCATTCGTTGGTTTGCTGTGGTGAGAAAAAGTCCGAGGTAAGTCCACTAAGCTCATTCCTGTTCCAGCGAGGAACAGGTTATGAGCCCAAGTGGCCCCCTCCCCCTTCGGGTGACCCTAGTGCCTGCCCCACTGCACGTACACCCGGCCCGTGCAATGTGCACCGGACGCGGGTCGCTTATCGCCTGCCCGTTCCTGTGCCTCCGGCATCCAGTTTGGAACCAACCGCGACGTCGGTTGCTTCGACATCCATGACCTCTGCGCCTGCGACCAACCACGTCTTCCCCGACCAAGTCGCGCCTTTGGTCCTGGAGGTCTTTGCTGGAACGGCGCGCCTCAGTTCCGCCTGTCAACGACTTGGTTTTCGCACTTTGGCGGTTGACAAGGCCTCTGCGCACAGTCGTTTTCCAATACAGCAGCTGGACCTTACTCTTGATGACGACCTGGCCATGCTCCTGGACATCATTCGACTTGAGGCTTCTAACATCGCTTGGATCCACTGTGCTCCACCCTGTGGGACCGCGTCCGCTGCTCGAGCCCGCCCTCTTGTTGGAGTCGATTCTTCCATAAATGCGCCGGTTCCCTTGCGGAGTACCAGGGAGCCCCAAGGGCTCAGCACTCTCCAAGGGCGCGACCGTCTACGGGTGGACCAGGCAAACCTGCTCTACCGGGCCGTCGGTGCCATCGCTGACCTTGCACTGGCTTTGCGGCTCTTCATCTCCATCGAGAACCCCGCCAACTCCCTTGCATGGCTTTGCGATGGGCTGGACCACCTATTTCGTCTTCCTCACCAGGCGGTTGTCTTCGATGCGTGCATGCATGGTGGCACGCGTAATAAGCGCAGTCTTCTCTGGTGTTCTGACGATCGCTTCATGCCTTTGGCCCTGCTCTGCTCTCGGGATCACCTCCACGCAGGCTGGCGCCCTCGGGTCCTGGCCGGCAAAGTCAATTTCCCTGCTAAGGACGAGGCTGCCTATCCCCACCTCCTGTGCGAACGCATGGCTTACATCGTGGCCGAGCATTCTGACCAGTTGCGCAATTCAGTTCCCGAACTCCGCCAACCTGCACAGGTTCACCTGCAGCGGCAGCCGCGCTTCGCAAGGCCACTGGTCTCCTGCTACCGCAGCTATGATGCTTGGGCGGTCCCTGTTCGGGCGGCCGACTTCCTGACCGCGTTGCTGCGCTGCTACCCCAAGGGCGCTCGTGTGGTTCAACGCAAACTGGTGCCGTGGGGTATGGTGCGGGTTTGCGTGCCTTCCTTGTGCCCTGCTGCTGATTTTTCGACTTTGGATAAGGCTTGGAAAGGCAATATAAGGCAGGCCGAGCCGGAGCAACAGTTCTTGGAAAAGCTGCATCATGAGGAAACAGTGCAAGTATGCGGTCTCTTGCAAGGCGACGACCCTTGTTCGACTAGTGCAGAGTTGATCGTCATAGGCATCCCTCGTGAACCCCAGGACTTTGTCAATGAGGCGATCAAAGCGGGACACCCTAGGAACGGACTTGCTTCCAGCAGGTCCGGACCAGCAGTGGACGTTGTGGATGCGGTGCTCTTGTCCTATAAGGACCGGGAGGAGAGGGCAGCTGCTACGAGGCAGCGATGGAGCAACATAGAGGCAGCTACGAGATCTCTGAATGACAAGATACTGAAGGGCAAACCTGAGTACTTGACCAAGGCGCTCGGTAACAAAAATGTCCTGGCCTGGAGGGACATCCTTCGAGATAATGGCTTCGGAGATGATCAGCTAACTTTGGGCGGACCTGAGGGATGGATTCCGCCTCACTGGATGGATGAGAGACACGGGAATATTCGACAAAAAATTGCGACCTCCTGAAACCACCCTGGAAAGGCTGCTTGAACAATCCAGCTACCGTACTCCTCTTACCTTGAATAGGTTGAGGAAAACTGTGGTGGATGAGACCACTCGCAAAGCTTGGGCGGAGACGCTTGAGGAGGAAAAGAAAGGGTGGATCTTCCGAGACTCGCCGGCGATCGATAAACCGATGGTCCTCGCCCATCGGTTTGGCCTGCAACAGAAGGGCAAAGTCAGGGTCATTGACAATGGCAAGGAATGTGGTCTTAACTTGGCTTGCGGCCTGCCCGAAAAGTTCACCTTGCATGGGGTGGACGTTTTGGCTGGAGTCTTCGTCGAGCTGCTGAACCGGCCGCTTGCCAGAGGCTTGCGGCTCAAGGGAAGAACTATCGATTTGGTTTCAGCTTACAAGTTTTACCCTTTACACCCCGAAGACAGACGGCATCTCCGAATTGGGGTATTTGACACTGACTCCAAAGTAGTCCGACTGTACGGGACGAACGTCTTACCTTTCGGTGCTACCGGAAGTGTCGCTGGCTTCCTGAGAGTATCAGCTGCTTTGTGGCACACTGGAGTAAGTGACATGGGTCTCGGCTGGTGTGCTTACTTTGACGACTTCCCCTTACTGGCGGTCGAGGGTCACGAGGCTCAGGTGAACGGTCTCGCGGGCGAGGTCTTCGACGCCTTGAATGTGGAATACGCCAAGGAGGGGAAAAAGGCCACAGAGTTTGAAGACACCTTCAACGCCCTGGGCCTCTCCTTTGACTTGACCCGTTTCCATGAAGGAGTGGTGACCCTTCGCCACACCGAGGCAAGGACTGCGGAGCTGTTGGAAACGCTTGATGGGATTCTCCAGGAGAACAAGCTTCGCCCTAAGGACGCTGAGGTGCTGCGCGGCCGGATGCACTGGTACACATCGTATCTCTTCGGCAGGGCGCCTTGCGAGGCGATGCACCAGATATCGATCCGGGCTCAGGGCCATGACGCTTGTGTGTCGCTAACCATGGACCTTGAGGAGGCCTTGAGAACCATGAGGTTTTACTTGTCCGATCCCAGACCACTTGAAATACGGCAAACAACCGGCAGAGAGATGTTCATCTTCACGGATGGTTCGTACGAGCCCGACGGGGACATCAAGGCCGGGATCGGTGGCGTGCTGTACGACGCCTCGGGCACGGCTCTGTCCTTCTTCAGCGCCGAGGTTGAGAGCGCGGATTTGTTGGTTTTGGAAGATCAATCCGATCACCCCATTTACGAGGTGGAGCTGTACGCGGCAACAGTCGCGTTCGAGCTTTGGGGGCATTTGATCCAAGACAGCTTCTCGGTCTTTTTCCTCGATAATGAGGCCGCGCAGTCGGCGCTCATAGCTGGTAAATCTGGTACTGCCAATGGACGGGTGTTGGTCCAGAGGTTCCTTGATGCAGAGCACAGATGGAAGGCAAGACCATGGATCGGCAGGGTCCCGACATACTCGAACCCAGCTGACGATCCAAGTCGAAATCTTTGCGGATCGCTCCTCAGACAGGGGGCGAAGCGGATGGAAGTTCGCGGTGTTCGCTTGCTCTCTTGATGGTCTCCGACATGCGCACCTTGCTTGGGGTGATTACGGGTGCACATGTGTACTCGTAGATTCCTGCCCTTGTGCCACACCTTGGAGGTGTGACCTTGTGGCGGGGTCGCAAATCCTGCTGAAAAGTTTTTCCTTCGGAAAACCCCACGGCATTGTGCGATATCCGGGAATAAAAAGAGTGAGCGTGAGCCATTGAATGAGTCGATTCAGTATACAGTCAATATTGATTGATTCAATTTGTCGTGATACTATATCTGATGTGAGAAGATATCGATCGATTTGTGTTGCACGATTGTGGAACTGGAAATAAGTGAACTCATCACTTGTGATTATCACTTTATTTCCTTTTTCACAACAACCGATTTCATGACTGTGAACACGGTTGAGTGCATGAACAAATCGATGAATTCCTGGGACATGTGTGATTCATGTTCGTTGCAAGACTGCTTGCTCGCAGGTTGCAAGAGCGAACAAATTTTTGACTCGCCCGCCCACCTGGGGTGATTACGGGTGCACATGTGTACTCGTAGATTCCTGCCCTTGTGCCACACCTTGGAGGTGTGACCATGTGGCGGGGTCGCAAATCCTGCTGAAAAGTTTTTCCTTCGGAAAACCCCACGGCATTGTGCGATATCCGGGAATAAAAAGAGTGAGCGTGAGCCATTGAATGAGTCGATTCAGTATACAGTCAATATTGATTGATTCAATTTGTCGTGATACTATATCTGATGTGAGAAGATATCGATCGATTTGTGTTGCACGATTGTGGAACTGGAAATAAGAGATGTTATACCGAAAGCTGTGCCGGTGCTGCAAGTGGGGCTGAACAGCCTTCATGTGGCATGCCAAGGAAAAATGGATGCAGATGTCATCCCTCTCCACTTTTTGGGGAGTGAGCATGACATGAAGCTGACAGGTGGAAGCGCACGAAAGCCGTGCTGTTGCTAGCCATGTCGGCTGGAAGGGGCTCGGGGAATGAGGGCTGGTTCGCTCGTTAATCCCCAGGGGCCAGAGTACTTTTCACTTTACCAACACGGCCTTGAAGGCCATGCTTCTGAGGTTTCAATCGTACAGCTCAGGTAGTCTTCAGTTGCATCTTTCGTTGGTTTGCTGTGGTGAGAAAAAGTCCGAGGTAAGTCCACTAAGCTCATTCTTGTTCCAGCGAGGAACACTAATTATTAAGGCCCCTAGATTAATCCTTAAATCCGAATCACCTGGGTTTCAAAAGCAAGCCGCAAAGAATGAGGCATGGACAGCGCAGCCGCCACAGTCTTCGTTCCTTGCGGCCACATGGCCGCTTGTGTGGCCTGTGGCGAGCGCGGGGATCTCAGTCTTCTGCTGCGGTTAAGGTTTTAGGTTTTTTTGGGGTTTAGGGTTTAGGGTTTAGGTTTTCGGGTTTAGGGTTTAGGGTTTGGAGGCTCTGCAAAAGCTCCTACTGATCCTATTGTAGGTAGGTCTTGAGGCACGAAGCTAGACGAAACTATACGAGATGGCGATATGCAACAGAGTTCATCGTAGATATGGTATGTATACTATACAGTATCTGTTATATGCCACATACTACAGACTATATTACATGACTATAAACTATATACTGGATACTGTATGGCTTTTCATGGACTTTCGGGCGAGTGTGAAACTACTTAAAGGATCATGGGACTTAGTAAGTAAGGTTATAAGTCCCTTAGTTAATTGGGGTTATAAGTATAGTTACCTTAGTTATAACCCTACTTACTAAGTCCCACGATCCTTTAAATCATTCCCTAAACCCTAAACCCTACTTACTAAGTCCCATGATCCTTTGAGTAGGCAGACGGACCGCTCGTGGCTTCTTGCCAGGCTTGGCGAAGAAGCCGTGCCCAGTGTGCAGAAAGAAGATCAAGCCCAGAACTCAGAGAGGGTTTAGGGTTTAGGGTTTAGGGTTTAGGGAATTAGGCTGCGGGGTTTAGGGTCATCTCAGCCGGTGCTTTGAGTAAGGTTGTGCCTTGTGCCAAGCTGCCGACAGCCCACCTGACCGACTTGATTCGATCCGCTGCAGCTTTTGTTCAGAATGCATTAATTCGTGCGTGCGTGCGTGTGTGTCTCTGTGTGTGTGTGTGTGCGGTCGATCAGTGCTCCCACGACTGCGATGGCTGAAGCTTCCGAAAGTGAGAGTGCTGATTCCACTGAGTCTCCAGACGAGGCAAAGAAGGTTCGCAAGATTCCAGTCATTGTGATCCTCTTGGTTGAGCTCTGCGAGAGGCTGACATACTATACACTGGCAGGCACGCAGAAAATCTATTTGCAGAATCAGCTCCACAAGTTGCCCTCGACGGCAGCAGCACTGAACTCGGTCTTCAGCATGCTGTGTTACTTCTGGTGTATCCCGGGCGGCCTGATCGCAGACTCTGTGGGTCGTTACAAGACCATCATCGGTGCGGGTGTAATCTATGCTACCGGCACACTTTGCGTTGCTATTGCTGTAGTCCATGCCTTCCAGACCTCGCTTGGCTGGATGTTTACCGGTGGATGCCTCGTGCTCATCGCAGCTGGCACAGGTGGCATCAAGCCAAACATTGCAAATTTCGGCGCTGACCAGATTGGTGACGAAACTGAGAGCCAGCGGGAATGCCAAAAGACTTACTTCTCTCTGTTCTACCTGGCCATCAACATCGGGGTTCTGTTTGCCTTTGGATTCTTCACGAACATCACCACTGGTGGGCTCCCTGGTGTGGTTCCCCAAAGTGAGGGCTACTCCTTTGCATATGGTGCCGGAGCTGTCTTTATGATAGCAGCGGTGTTGATCTTCATCTCCTTCACTCCATCTTACCGGCGGCTGCCTGGAAATGGTCTTGGACCTGTGAAGCGTCTGGTCCGCTATCAATGCCGTTCTCTGCGTGGCGGCGGCTGGCGAGCTGTGATGTCTGCCATTGGTTGGCTCTGCTTGCCCTTCTTCTACATCGTCACCCTTGCAGCCGTGTTGACACCGAAAGCGACGACTGCAAGCGAGCAGGTCTTTCTGGATCCATGCTCTTCCGCGTCGGGTACTCGCCGGCTCCACGGAGGGACGATCTCCATCAACGATACCCTCAACGACACGGCCCTGGCTTTGGGCGGCTTGGCCTGCGTCTGCCTCGTCGCCCAGGACTCAGAAGACTCGCGGCTTTCTTGAGGCTAGGAGACTAGGATTTGTGACTTTCTCAAGACTCGCTCGCCCCTAGCTGCGAGGTCGCCAATGTCCGTTGCTCTTGGGTGCAAAAGCTCGGGGACGAGTCCAAGAACTCCTTCAACCAGGTGGGTAGTTTTCAAAATTAGGGTCCCTTTTAGGGTCCTTTTTGTAAGGGTGCCGTACTATATTGGGGGCCTAAAAAGGGACCCTAATTTAGAGAACTACCCAGGTGGAAGCTGCACGAACCTTCGCTGCCATTCCCGTCATCATCGTGGTCAACCTTTCCTTCAGTCTCTGCTACAACTCAATGAACAACGCATTCCCATCACAGGCCTGCCAAATGGCAGGGTTTAGGGTTTAGGGTTTAGGGGAACAACGCATTCCCATCACAGGCCTGCCAAATGGACGTCCGCCTAGGAGACGGGCAGCTGAACGGAGCTTTCTTCAACATCGCGGATGCCCTGGCCATCGTGGTCTTCACACCCATCTTCGAGTCTTGCGTGTATCCGCTGATAGCACGTCTGAAGGGTAGCCCTGTATCTTAGGGGTACTTGGAAATCTTTTGTGTTTGTTGGTCATCATTATCCCGAAGAAACAGCTACACTATCAGTATAGGTATCCCCAAGCCCTAATCCCTGAACCCATCAACATAGGTAATCAGTCAGTAATCAGTATAGGTATCCCTAAACCCTAATCCCTAAACCCATCAACATAGGTAATCAGTATAGGTATCCCTAAACCCCAAAATCCCTAAACCCATCAGTCTAGGTCTCTTTGGGGCAGAAGATGGTTACTGGACTTCTCGTTGCCGCAGTCTCCAACTTCTCAGCTGCGGTGCTGGAGGTGTGAACCCGGGCTCCTCTGGAGATCGATTCTTAGGGTTTAGCTTTTAGGGTCTAGGGTTTAGGAGGTTTAGGGTTTAATGTTTAGGGNNTAGGGTTTAGGGTCTCAGGTTTAGGAACTCTTGGGCTTCTACTATAAGATCAATTCTTAGGCTTTCCAGTTTACGGTCGAGGGCTCCTTCAGGGTATCTCTTGGGGTTTAGGCTTCGAGGTTAGGGTGTTAGTAAACCCTAAACCCTAAACGGGTGCCACCTTGGGGTTTAGGGTTTGAGATCGGAGTGCGAGCTTCCGAAGACGAAGCCCAAAAGGTGAAAAGACGGGCGGCCCCTCCTCTTTGTGATGTCGGCTTTTCGCAATGTGCGCCAGGATATTCGGAGGACCTAAACCTTGAGCCCTAAACCCT